TTCTTAGAAAAATATGATCTTCCAAAACTGAATCAGGAAGAACCAGAGAGTCTGAATATACAAGTTTCACCTAGTGAAATTGAAGCAGTAATCAAAAAACATCCAACAAATAAAAGTACTGGACCAGGTGGCCACATGGGTGAATTTTACCAAACATTCAAAGAGTAACTAATGCTTATGCTTCTTAGACTACTCTTAAAAAAGAGGAAAGAACAATTTCCAGCTCATTTTACGAGGTTAGCAGTATACTAATTCCCAAACTAGATACAGGCACAACAAAGACAGAAAATTATAGGCCAGCGTCCCTGGTGAACATGGACACAAACATCCTCAATAAAACAGCAAACCAGATCCAGCAATACATTTAAAAGATCATATACCATGATTAAGTGGGATTTATTCCAGGGATACAAGATTGGCACAATATCCACAAATACATAAATGTGTTACAGCACACAAATTAAATGAAGAGTAGAAACCACATAATCATATCAATAGGTACAGCATTTGATAAAGTCCAGCACTCCTTTATGATAAGTCTCAGCAAAGTAGGTATAGAGGAGCATACTTAAACACAATAGAGAGCATATATGGCAAACTCACAGCCAGTGTCATACTCAATAGGCAAAAACTACAAATGTTTCTTTCCCTTTAGATCAGGAACAAGACAGAGATGTTTGCTTTCTCTACTCTTATTCATCATAGTACTGGAAATCTTAGCCATAAAAATCAGACAGGAAGTGAAAGTGTCATTATTTACAGATGACATGATATTGTATATAGAAAACCTTAAATATTCCACCAAAATGCTACTAGAACTAATAAATGGATTTGACAAAATAGCAGGACTCAAAATTAATATCCAGAAATTGGTGGCATTTCTATACACCAACAGTGCACTATCAGAAAGAGAAACCAAGGGAAAAAAAATCCCACTTACTATTTCAACAAAAAAAATAAGGTACCTTGAAATAATTTTAACCAAGGAGGTCAAAGACCTCTACTCAGAAAACTATAGGACATTGAAGAGAGAAATTGAAGAAGATATAAAGAAGTGGAAGTATATACCATGTTCGTGGATTCAGAGAGTTAACATCATTAAAATGTCCATACTACCCAAAGCAATCTATTAGATTCAGTGCAATTCCTGTAAAAATATCAGTGACATATTTCACAGATCATGAAAAAATATTCCAAAAATGTATATGGAACCAAAAAAAAAAAAAGACCCTGAATAGCCTCAGCAATCATGAGAAAGAAGAACAAAGTTGGAGGTATCACAGTACCTGGTATCAGACTGTGCTACAAGGCCAGTTGTAATCAAAACTACCTGACACTGTCATAAGAACAGGCCTATAGATAATTGGAATGGAACAGATCGCTTAGAAATCAACTAGCACCAAATGGTCAATTAACATTTGACAAAGGAAGCAAGAACATGCAATGGGGTAAATACAGTCTCTTCTGTAAGTGGTGTTGGGAAAATTGGACATATACATACAACAAAATGAAACTATACCACCAACTTACACCATACACAGGAATTAACTGAAAATGGATTAAAGACTTCTGTGTAAGTCACAAAACCATGAAAATACTAGAAGACAAAATAGGCAGTAAAAGCTCAGACATTTCTTGGAGTAATATTTTTGCCAATGTGTCTCTAGGGCAATGGAAATAAAGGAAAAAAAAATAGACAAATGGGACTACATCAAACTAAAAACCTGCACAACAAAAGAAACCTCATGACATCTGCACATCATGTCATTAACAAAATGAAAAGGGATCCCACTATATGGGAGATGCAAGTTAAAATCCAATGAGCTATCACCTCACACCTGTCAGAATGGCCATCATCAATAGATCAACAAACAAGTGCTGGCGAGGATGTGAAGAAAAGGGAACCCTCATGCACTGTTGGTGGGGACGCAGACTGCTGCAGCCACTATGGAAAGCAGTATAGAGTTACCTCAAAAAATTAAAAATGGAACTGTATTTTGACCCGGTGATCCCACTTCTGGGAATATATTGTAAGAACCCCAAAACACCAATTTGTAAGAAAGCATGTACCCCTATGTTCATAGCAGTGTTATTTACAATAGCCAAGATCTGGAAACAGCTCGTGCCCATCAGTAGATGAGTGGATAAAGCAACTATGGGACCTTTACACGATGGACTTCTGTGTGGCCATAAAAAGAAGGGACTCTTACCCTTTGCAATAGCATGGATGGACCTGGAGAATATTATGCAAGCGAAATAAGCCAGTCAGAGAAAGAAGACTACCGTATGATCTCACTCATATGTGGAATCTGATGAACAAGATAAACTCACATGCAAAAAAAAATAGAGGCGTAGCCACGTGGAACAGACTGACAGCTGTCAGAGGGGAGTGGGGACTGGATGAAAGGAGGAGAAGGGACGAACCAAAGAGCGTAAGTGCAGGACCCCCAGACACAGACAACGGTGTGGTGAGGGCCAGAGGGGTGGGGAAGCCGAGGCTGGGAAGAGGGGTACGAAAGGGGAGAAAACAGGGACGTGTAATAGTGTCAACAATAGAAGTAAAGAGAAAACAAGAAGAAAGGAGAGCAGCAAGGTAAAGGGTGGTGCTGGCCATGGGCAGGGAGGCCTCCATGGGACCCGAGGAGGAGTGGGGATTTCTCATTCCCTTCGTCCCCTCCTGCCAACCTGAGTTCAGGTGTGGAGATGCCTGGGAATCTCTGAGAGCAGGCACTGTTTGGTGTGTATTTCCCCTTTTCTGTGCAGACCAGGGGCTGCCCACGCCTCCGGCAGAATCCCTCCGGGACCTGCCCACAGCTGGCGCCGTGGGCTGCAGGCATCAGAGAGAGGGAGCACTCCATCCTGTTGCCTCTGGAGGAGCCGCCCGAAGGGGGGCATCTGCCAGTGTTCCGCACACAACGAGATGTCCCAGGGCTCAGTGGTTGGTCTGCGAAAGGGACACTCTTCACACTGGGGTGATTCTCTTCCTGTCACGCACACCAGCCTGGGTGTCCTGTGTCAGGATCAGGTGGCCATGTCCTTGGGTTGCTTTGTGGACTTCTCCATCGGTGCCGTCCCAGGCTGCCTGTTGTCTGCACTGCGGCCCGGCACGCCTCTGGGTCCGCATGGTTTGGGGTTTGCCCTGAGCACTGCCCCTCTGACTGGTTCCCTGCATCTCTTTCTAGACCAGTCTCCTGAAATGCCGTGCCGCATCTGGGTTCTGTGCTTCTGGCTCTTGCTTCTTTGGTTGGGAACATTTGTTCTGCATGTGACCATACTGTCACATTATTTTATAGACATAACCCATGTGGAAATGTCCTGTGATTGTTTTCTAAGTGTCCTATTATTGTTGAATATACATTGTCCTTTGAATACACAGAAAGTACCCCAGATGCCTGTGGCATGTTGTCCCTTGGCGACACTCCCTCCTGGAGCCTGTGGCATCTGTCCCTGTGGTGGGGGAACAGCTCCTGCCTGGGGCACAGAGCAGGTGCCACCTGCCACTTCTGCCTCAGTTGGCTGGCTACTCTCCTGCGGTCCTTTCCACCCCTAGGTTATGAAGTTATTTGGGAAACACTTTTGAATGTTTTATCATGTGGATTTCCCTCAGCGGGTGTGTGCGTTTTATTTATGTAGAAATACCCTCTGTGGTCCGTAGCATCAAAACATGCTGCTGTGTGGTTGCGATTCTTCCATGGATGTGTTGTGCCGGCCGGACACTGCTCGGGCGCCCACACATCCAGAGCTGCTAAGCATGCCGCCCCCGCAGCCGTGCTGGCCGTGCGAAAGGTTCCTGTCTCCCGGCTGCAGCCGGGGCGGGTGGGCAGGCAGCTGGAGTCCTGGCCGGGGAAGCAGCCCTCCCTCACGTGGTTCTGGTGGGCCCTTCTGTCCCTGAGACAGCACAGCAGGTGGTCACCATAAGCTGAGTGTTATCAAGAGTTTCGCATTTATTTTTCCCTTTTTGATGATGAATAGTCTCACACAAAAGGAAAAAGACACACTCTATAATCTGTGTGGCTTTTATGTTGTTCAGTATCATTTTTTCAGCTGTTCCAAAATGGTTTATGCGCCCTCTCTGCTTCCCAGAAAGATGTTGGAGATAGGAGGTCACCTTGTCCATCATCGGTCACCCATACAGGTCTTCTGTCCAGGGCACCGTGAGGGGTTTCATGGCCCCTACAGGCATTCTCTTTGGAAAGCCGAACGGAGAAGAGGTTGGAAATAGTGGAGCAGGTGAACATCCCTCATCTGGTGCGGGCTTACTGCAGGATGGCCCGCCTCATGGGGACGCGGCTGGCGCGGCAGCTGCACTCTGGCCCAAAGGGATCGAGAGCGGGAGTCGGGATTTTTGCCTATGTCTGGTGGTTACTCAGGTGTATGTTCCAAATAAGGGCTTTGGGTCAAGGAACAGAAGCCCACTCAAGCTAACTCAAGTAAAACATGCCTTGGGAAAGATGACGGGAGACAGTAAGGAACCCAAAGGTGGAAACTAGGTGAGCCTCATGGGGACTGGAGCTGGGGTGGCAAAGCCGTCTGCCTCCCTGTCGCCCCCGACCCCTAGTGCCATCCTGCCCTTCCAAGCCCACTTTGTGCTCCGACTCTTCTCTGCGCTCAGAAGTTGTTACTGCACAGCTTTGATGGTTTTGTCTTGTCCTGCACCACCTTTGATGCCCACACGATATGACGTCTCTCCCAGCCTCAGCTCCCCGATGACAAGGTGGCCTTGCAGCCTCCCAGCGCTCAGTTCCCCAGGCACCAGCCGGCACCCTGCGTAGCTCTGGGGAATGCTGATCTCGTAAGGCTTCATGTGAGTCAGGAACTTCCCTGAGGGCTCTGAGCAGAGGCTGTGGGCACAGTAGGGCCCAACACATGCCACGTCCCTTTTTTCTTTCTGAGCTCACGTTGCCGTGTCTGTAAAATGAGGAGCTATGGGGGGCCTGGCCTCCCTCTAGTGCCTCCTGGAGTCTTTTAACGCGATGCCGTGGTGTGTGCTCTCTCTGCAGGAAGCAACGCTTGTGTGTCCAGGCCATGCAGCCTGCTCTGCCTGCCCAGGGCCAACAGCAGCAGGAGCTGCAGGTGTCCAGAGGGCGTGGCCAGCACCGTCCTCCCCTCGGGGGACCTGAGGTGTGAGTGCCCCCGGGGCTATCAGCTGAGGAACACCACCTGCGTCAAAGAAGGTGCGTCCCTGCTCTTTTTGTCCATCATCCTCCTTTCCTGTGTTTCTCTCCTTTCCCGGGGCTGTCTGTCCCCTAATCTGAGTCATGGAAAATGCCCACAGAAAAAATACAGTCGCTGGGCACCTGGACTCGTCTGGTTCAGGTTCCAGGCCTGTGGCGTTTAGTTTTCATCCAGAACAGCCCTAAGCCGTTTACTTAAAAATGATAGCTTGTGTCTGTCTTTGCTTTAATGTCAAGTGATACAGCTTTGCTAGGAGGCCACCTTCCTTTTCCTCTTCTGCCAGTTCCTTTTCTTGCCCATCCCCCACATCTCAGCTCTGCAGCCTCCCGTGTGTTGGCCCAGCTGGACTTGGAACAAGAAGTGCTGTGACTCCACGGCTTACCTCGCCTGCCCCCCGCGCCCACCCCCCGGCCCGAGGCGTCCTGCACTCTCAGACCAGTGTTCCAAAGGACTCTGCGTCCTTCTTCCCAAGCTGTGAGCAGTGCCTGCAGCAGCCTCATCATGCTCTTCCTTTCTAAACTTTCCCCCTGAAAAGCTGTTAAACCTTTCCTTTATTGTCTAATTTTTACCCTTACCACCTCCCCGGCCCCAGCCTCGTATTTCCATCAGTCAGGGGAGCCCCGGGAGGGGGACTTGCCACATGGCGCCCCGGGAGTGGCCCGAGTCCCGCTGCTCCTCCTCGTGCAGGCGGACCTGCTCTGTAACGGCCACCCACCTGCGCTGCAGCCTCCTAGCTTCGGGCAGCAACGTCCACGAAGCCACGGGATGGCCGCTTAGAAATAGGGGCGGAGCCGCCCTCTTAGACACAGGAAACTGTCAGGTGGGCTCTGGCAGTCATTTTAATGGTCTTTAGAAAGAAACAGAGTTGACATTAAAATTCAGAAGAAGGAGAAAGGAGGCTTTTCTGTAGTCCTCGTAGGAAGGCCTTTGGTTACCCAAACAAGAGGCCAGTCCTCACGTGTTCTTGACTGTTACCAAGCCAGGCATTTCTTCTGCATGAGAAGTTGCAGCTGCTTGCTTTAAAGAAGTCACGGGGTAGAGAAAACCTTCAGAGTATGGAAAGAAAGTCCCCATAGCCCACTTGGTTGAGAAATTGCGTATACAGGGGTATATATTTGTAACTCCCTGTAATATCTGTGGCTGTAGATACATCGACCACTGTGTCCGGATACAGTGCAGACGCAGTCTGTGACGGGTGTCCTTGTGTAATCAGGATTTTACGACGTTGGTACGTGGTGTCTCTACCCACTGGCCAACTGGTATCGTTGTGACCGCCTCTAAGCACAGCTCCGGCTTGCCTCCTCTCCTCCAATCCCGGTCCGGGCAGGAGAGGAGGCGGCCTGTCGCGGCTTCCGTCCCTGCCTGCCTGTCGGCTGGGCTGCCCTCTCCCTCTTCGTCGTCTAAGACGTGTTGTTTGAGGAAGGGAAATGGGAAACTGCACAGAGAGTGTCTTGTGGTCCGTCAGTAAGAATAACACTGGTTTCGTTTCCTCCCTGCCTTTTCCTGGCCACCAGAGAACACCTGTCTGCGCAGCCAGTACCGCTGCAGCAACGGGAACTGCATCAGCAGCATCTGGTGGTGTGACTTGGACAACGACTGTGGAGACATGAGCGACGAGAGAAACTGCCGTGAGTCCCTGGCGCGGCCCCGTCTGCGGGGTGGCAGGCCCTGGCTGTTGCTCAGAAGACTGGCCCAGCTCCTGGGCAGCGCCTTGCTGCCTCTTTCCCTCTCACGACCACAGAAACTAATGACTAAAATTCTGTGGCACACCAAGAAATATATTTTTTGTCGATCTGACAAAAATAGGCATAATTTTGATTCATTCGTACTGAATGGCTATTGTTGTGTTGGCTGTTGGCCCTTTTTTTTATTTGCCAGTCTAAGGGAAAAGAGGTCAGTGCCCCTAACTCCATAGTCAGGTGGCGCATGTTCTGAAAATTCTTGCTGCACATCAGTTGAATATCGCTGGTCTGGTGCTGGCTGGACCCTCAGGCTCAGCGATGCCTGTTTAAGCTGATGGGGTTGTTTGGAGAACAGAGAAAACACATTTCCCTACCGAGCTGGATGTACGTTGCTGTTTAAAAACAAACCCGTGTATATATAAGTTCCCTACGTCATTGTAAGAGATTTGCGAATCATCCTCCCGTGGCTGAAAGGGAGCCTGCCTGGCGTCGGGCAGGCTGGGCTCTCACTGTGGCCCTGCCACTGTTGCAAACCCGGTGGCAGGGTGGTGGCCAGGGGATAGCCCTTGATCGGTCAGTTCAGCGCTCGGCCTTCTCAGAGAGGGCAGCAGGCTTTGCGCTGTGTGCCACCACAGCCGGTGGGTGCTGGCGGCCCGCCGGGCTCCAGAGGGGGTGTTCTACCCCAGCGGCAAGGCCTGCTTTGGTCTGAAACGTGGGGGCGTCGGCACATGTGCACACAGATGGCATCTTCTACCTGTTACCGTATGTGATTCTGTTTAGCAGGGTTGGAAGGCACACGTGGCTCTGCAGGTGATTTTTAATAGCTCTGACATCCTTGGCCCTTTGTCAGGCGGTAGTATGTTCAACAGGTGTCTATGGAAGAGCCTTCATTCCAGGCTCTGTGCTGGGCCTTGGCATGTACTGGTGAGCAGGGTGGACGCCGAGCTTCAAGTCTGAAGGGGGGTCTAAAAGCAGATAGATAGCCAGTTACCCTGGAGTGGCGAGTGCTGCGATGGGGAAGCCCAGGGCACCCCGACCGGCTCAGGTCGGCACTCACGTGCAGGTGCACCAAGCGCAGGTGGCGGCAGCAAGGTTCAAGGCAAGGAGCAGCCACGTGACAGCCCGGCGGCCAGAGTGTGTGCGGCCTGGCCGGGAGCTGGTGCGGGCCACTGAGAGCTAGTGGGAACTCAGGGGCGGGGGCCCAGAGCCGCAGGGGCCTCTGGGCGTGCTCAGCAGAGCCGCCGTGAACCCTTCGTGGGACATTCTAAGGTACTGCCTTTGGAATCATCGGCTGGAGGCAGAGGGAATTGCATGGGGGAAAGGCCAGAGCCGGGAAGCCAGAAACCAGTCTGCAGGCTTCTCTTTCCAGTATTTTACCTTTGGAAGTCGAGAAGCCCATTTGTAACCCCGTGTTCAAAGATCCGATGGAAGGGGGCTGCTGGCCCTGTGTGCTCCCCTGTCTCTGGTGGCGGTGTGCCGCCTGCCCCCTGCAGAGCCCGTGCGGCTGTGCCAGCCCACGGGGAAGCAGCCCGGGAAGCAGCCAGCGCGTGACCCCGCCCTTGAATTGCGCCCTGCCTTTTCTGTCTCACCGGGGCCTGCACCCTGGACCTTACTTCAGAATTTTCCCTTGGCTTCAGCGGGTGCCTCTCACATCGAGGGGCAAGAGCTTCCTGAGTGGCAGATTTGAGGGGTGCTAGCCTATGTGTGTGTTTTTTATTTCTGAAAAATTGGCACTGATAAAACTCTCTCTACCTACAGAGTCTTAGGAAGGTGTGATATTTGTGGGGGAGTAGCCAAAGCTCCTTAAAAACATTAATAAATGTTAACAGCTTTGGAGCAGATTCTGGAAAGGAGTTTATCACCTAACAGAGTGGGAGAGGAAATACTCCTTAGGATTTACACATTGTGAGACAAGGACCCAGACGTGGTCAGGCTGGGTGGACGCAGAGAGCTATAAATGTGCTGACCTCACGTCCCGCAGCCAGGGGCTCCCGCCTGGGCCTCGGGGCTCTGGTTGCTGCTAGATGACAAGCCTGGGTCCCGTTATTCTGCGTTTTGAGAGGAAGACCTCCCCGCACCTTCGGGGGCAGCGGCCCTCCCCGCGGAGCCGTGACCTCGCCGTTGGGCTCCCGCGTCCCACAGAGTCGGCGCAGCTCTGGGTGGCGTGTGCAGCTGGCTCTGACCTGCTCCTGCACGGGTGCAAGTGTCCGCTTGGATTGACCTTTCCAGGACCCTGGGACTCGCTGTCTCGGAATCCCACTAGGCTCAGGTTCAGACTTGTCAGGTGGGGCTGAGGTGAGGGGGTTGGGGGGAGGTAGGGGTTAAGCTGGAGCCTGGGGACCCTTCTCTGTGCCTTGTGTCTCCCTCACTGAGGAGGCGGAGCGGGACTTCTGTCCTCAGGGCTGTGGGGCCGTGGGCCCCTGTTGTGCGGGAGGTTACAAGAGGCGTCCTGTCTGCTGGCTGCCGGGGAAGACGGGGAAGACGAGGGCCGCAGCGGAGGGAGACCAGAGGGCTGCTGGGAGCAGATCTGCCTTCTGAGCAGCCGCCTGGGTTGGGTCTTTGTCAGGCGCTTAGGGTTTTGATGTGAATCTCCTGCAGCCTGGTCATTTTTGCATTTATCTCCTGCCTCCCCACCATGAGCTCAATTACAGAGAAGAAAGGGAGCCACTAGTAAGCGCTGCCAAGGTCTGTAATCGCAGAGTCGGCTGGGCTTTTCAGCCCGGCACCCCACCCAGCCCAGGGGCCTGGCACCTGCCTCCCGCACCTCTGCGGCTCCAGAGAGCAGCCTTGCTTCCAAGAGCCTTCCCCGCGGGTTCCTTCCCCAGGCTCAGGGCGGGGGGCTGGGTCTAGGCCAGGTGGCTTCTATAGAAGAGCGAGGGAGTCTCATTCTCTACCGAGTCTGCTGGGGCGCATTACGTTTCCCTCAATTTAATGGACCACAGTCCCAAACTTGTTTTCTTACTTGTCCTCATCATAGTGCCATGATGTAGGCATTACCTTCATTTAGCAGTAGAGGGAACGGAGGCGTGGAATTGTTAGGTTGTGGGTGGTAGAATTAAGATGTGAGTCTTCTGACTGTCACCGCGCTTGGCCTCAGGGCGGTTTCTGCCTTTGAATGTGGAGGAAGCGGAGGCTCAGGGAGTCCTTGCTGGAGGAGGAGGCAGAGCGGGGATTTGGAACCCAGCCTTGGCGGACTACAGAGCCCTCGCTCTGCTGCGGGAAGCCTGCCTGCGCAGCCCCCCCCCCCCACCTCTGTCACCCCCGGGGGCGGCTTGGGGCGCCTGTGGGGAGCTGGGCTTCCCAGGGGCCGGCTTCCAGGTCGAGGTATTTCTGCCGCTTCAGGAAGACACCTCCCGCCTGAGGGCGTCGTAGGCAGCGAAGCCCCTTGCTTTCTCTCCCAGCCGGAGGCCGGCTCCCACTTTTCTTAGCCCTGTTCCAATCTGCAAGCTGTCAATGGGGAGGCAGGCTCTTACCTCCCTTGGTTGTAAAGGTCAGGTTCTCATGCCATTTTTTTCATAAGTCTAGGTTTTGTTTCTGTTCCTACAATTAAAATCTGCTTCCTTCTCTTGTTACATTGGTTTCCCAGTGGAAAGTTTGTGTTTGGGGGGAGTGAATCGCACTAAGTGTGTCCTCTCGCTTTCCTTTTTAGCCACTACCATTTGTGATCTGGACACACAGTTCCGTTGCCAGGAGTCTGGGACCTGCATCCCACTCTCCTACAAGTGCGACCTGGAAGACGACTGTGGAGACAACAGCGACGAGAGTCACTGTGGTGAGGGCGCACGAGGCCCCGGAGCCCTGTCCCGCAGCGGGCGGCATCCCTGCCCGGCGCTGTGCCCGTGGCTGGGGCGGCCGGGAACGGAGGGTTTCCCAGGGCCCTTCGGGGAGTTAGGACGCGCGCTGCGGGCGCGTCTGAACCTGCACAGTAGGGTTGGTGCCTCCGTGGGGGACGGGACCTGGCTTTGCCCTGAGGGGTGCTGTGGGTGTGGGTGCGATAGGGAGGAGGGAGGCTGGGAGGGGCTCAGGTGGCTGTTGCGCAGACGTGGCCCACGCCTCCGGGTGGCTGAGAGACCCGCCTCCTGAAGACACATATCTGTGGCTTCGCGAACTGTATTTTTTTTTAACCAACATTATTCAGAAAACTCTGTTAGAAGTCAACAGATGGTACAAACATTGTTTGCACATCTCTTTTCTGAATGGAAATTTTTGTATTTAGAAAAAGAGCATGTTGGCGTGATACGAATTCTCTAGTTTAGTCATTTTAGTTTCCAGGTCAGGTGGCTGCGGTCCGCAGTGGCCGGGGGGCGTGTCCTAGGCACCGCGGTTCGCTCTGCCGGCAGGGGGCGGGGCGCTGCCCCGTCCGTCTCACGGGCCGTCCTCGCTAAGGGGCTCCAGCCCCCAGCTCCGAGTCGCTGGCTCTGGAAGAAGGAAGCCTGTGTGGTACACACAGTGCGCCTGACTGGAGGAGCCACGGGTGTCAACGGAAGCGGGGCTGGAGGCCCACGCCGACCCAGACCCTGTGCGGGGGACGTGTGGCCCTGCCGGGCCCTGCCTCCCCGTGGGCAGGCCTGGCAGGTGGGGCCTCGCGCACGATGACACCTGCTTCTCGACGAGCGCGGGTCTGACCCGCAGGGACGGCAGCAAGGGCAGCCAGGGGAGGCTCCTGTCTGGCTTGCAGAGCACTTTTCTTGGCAGGGCGGAGGGGTTTACATAATTCCCTTCATCTTTGAGAAATACGAAATTGCAGAAGACAGTCCTTGGGATTCACAACTGTTTTCCCTTTGTCCCTCCCGTCTCCTCCTCAGCACTCTGGCAGCGTTCAAGTGCGCAGCTGGTTTTGCTCAGTCGGGTGGAAACTGCATGTGGCCGCCTGTGTCTAGTGCCACCTCACTCCCTCACTGGGCACAGGGGACCTGTAAGCAGTGGCAGGGCCTCCAGGTCCTCTGTCCATGGTCCCTGCATGTCAGCCCGAGTCCAGCCCACAGTCCCAGTGAGTCCCTTCCTTAGAGCCAGGGCCTCTTCATGAGTATCCAGACTGTTTTCTCTACAAAGCTGAACTACCAGCGTCACCACCACCCTGGCCTGTGAGTGAGGCCTCAGAGGCAGCCACCGTGGGCCCACAGCGTGGCTACTGCTCCTTCTGTGAAATCTTTAAAATTCCCTTTGGAGGTTGTCCTTTAATACTGTCCTCCAGGCCGACAGAAGATGGTGCGTGAGTGAGACCAGGGCTGGCCCCCACCCCGTCCCCCCGCCCAGACGGCCCCATCCCACAGGCCCAGCTTGTGTGCCCTGCTGTGGCGCCGGCACGGATCCCGCTGCCCCGAGCTGAGCGTCCCATTGACAAACACTCCTACTTTTTGTGACTCCTTTTCTGAGAGCACAGGCTCTGTCTCTAGAAGCCTGCTGTTTCTTGCAAAGACTTCCTGGGCACCTCACGCTTGCCTCCAGCCTCCTCCTCATCGTAGCAGGCATCGACAATGACAGTATTTGTCAAGCGCAGTGAGGCCGTGGGCAGGCTTCTCTTCCCTCGCAGCAGCCAGTGGCAAGAGTGCGGGGGTCTGTCGCAGCACCCGGGCGTGGCCGGCAGCCTTCCTCAGTGACCTCTGATTCCTGGTTCAGGTCTCCATCCACGCCCTCGCTGGGGAGTCCGGGGAGTCGGTGTTAAGGGGTTAATGGCGCATCTCTAACCCTCAGGAGTGCTGACACCAGAGGGGGACTTGTGGGTGGAGAGCTTTGTCCTCACACTTCTGTCTGTGGTCTCACCTGCAGAAGCGCACCAGTGCCGCAGCGACGAATACAACTGCAGCTCCGGGCTGTGCATCCGCTCCTCCTGGGTGTGTGACGGGGACAACGACTGCAGGGACTGGTCCGACGAAGCCAACTGCACGGGTCAGTGTCTCCAGGGCTCTGCAGAGCGCTCGCCTGTGCGTGGACTGGTTAGCATTGCAACCCTTCCTGGTCATAGAGTCTAGGCCCTGAGAAACGGCCCTTGGGAATCACCCAGGGCTGTGCGGCTAGACTCGGTCGATGCGAAGCTTGTGATGAGCGCACCCCGGCATCCTTCTTCCTTCACGGAGAAGTCACGTTAACCAAGCTCATCGGCGTCCTGAGTGACAGACACGTAGGTGACTCATGTCCCGGCTTAGCGTCTTGTTTCTTCAGGGCCGGTGATGAACAGCTTGCAGACTGACCCCTAGTCTGTGGACCACGTTTTGAGCGGCACTCGATGACTTTATGCATCGGAATGGAGATTCCAGGGGTTCCCCGAACAGGGATAACTTTAACTGTGCTTGCGTCTCTTTGGGGTGAGATTTCATTAAAAATAAACCGAGGCACAACCCGGGAATATCAGAGGAAGGCTTGGTACCATCACATCGCAGTAATGTTCTAATACTTCTGTTGGGTAGTAGGTTCCTGATGTTGATTGCACGATGTTTTATGACTGACTGACTGAAAGAATGAGTCTCACATACATTATGGTGTTGTGGGGCAGAGCAAGGAGTTGAGGAACTTGTGGAGAACTAAAAATATTTCGTTGCCTAATGCATAAATACCCTCTGCAGCATCCTCTGAGGTAGCCATTCGGTTCTGCCTGAGCTCCCTCCCAGGAAGGGGGTGGAGGCGCTCGGTGTCGCCGTTTCTTGGTGAGGGCGGACCTGCATCCTTACCACAGTCACTCAGGCTCTGTTTCACATATGGTTCATGGTTCATTGTTTTTTCAGTTATAAAGTACATTTATTTACCAGGAACATAACTTTTGAAAATTTATTTATCCACGTTCAATTATAGTTTACCCACAATATTATTTTGTATTGATTTCAGGTGTACAGCGTAGTGGTTAGACAGTCCTGTACTTTACAGAGTGTGCCCGTAACACTTCCAGTACCCACCTGGCACCGCGTGTTATTGACTCTGTTTCCTGTGTTGTACCTACATCCTGCGACTCCTCGTGACTGCCGATTTGTGCTGCTTCATCTTTTCACCTGTTTCGCCCAATCCCCAACCCCTGCCCCTCTCTCTGGCAGCCATCACTCTGATCTCTGGATCCATGAGACTTTTTATATTTCTTTTGTTAATTTTGCTTTTTAGATTCCAAATATAAGTGAAATTTTGATTTTTCATACCATACCATAAAATACCATAAAATTATGGTACCATAAAATACCATAATTTTATGGTATTTCTCTTTCTCTGACTTATTTTACTTAGTGTAATACCTTCCATCTAGGTTCATCTGTGCTGCCACTTTCTCTTTTTATTACTGAGTAATATTCCATTTTATATATGTATCACCGCTTTTTGATACACTAGCTATTGGTAGACATTTGGACCATGTCCATATCTTGGCTTTTGTGAATAATGCCTCAGTGAACATAAGGGTCCATATATTCTTTCACATTAGTGGTTGGGTTTCATAAGATGTATTTCCGCAAGTGGAGTCTCTGGGTCATGAGGCAGTTCCCTTTTTAAATTTTGAGAACACTCCACACTGTTGTCCACCCGTCCGCATTCCCACCAGCAGTGCACGAGGGTTCCCTTTCTTCCGCAGCCTCGCCAGCACCTCTTGTTTGTCGATTTATGGATGATGGCCATTCTGACAGCTGTGAGGTGATATTTCAGTTGTGGTTTTCATTTTCATTTCCCTTGATGATTAGTGACATTGAATATCTTTTCATATTGTTCTCTGTGTGTCATCTTTGGAGAAGTGTCTGTTCGGGTCCTCTGCCCATCTTTTAATTGGATAATTTATTTTTATGGTATTGAGTTATGTAAGTTCTTTATAAATTTTGGATATTAACTCCTTATTGTATGTATCATTGGCAACCATTGTCTCCCATGCCATAGTGTGTCTATTTTGTTGATGGTTTCTTTTGCTGTACAAGAAATTTTTCATTTGAGGTAGTTCCACTTGTTTATTTTTTTCTCTTATTTCCCTTGCCCTTAGATAAGAGAAAAATACAGGAACTGGCAGAAGTAACACCTGCTTGAGTATGGTTGGTAGGGTAATAATATGTGTGTAATAATTTATAGTTTTAATTTGAACATTTTATCTAAAATGTCACATGGTGTGCTTGAGTGTGATATTGTTATGTTACAGAATTACATGCTTATGATTTTGTAATAAAAGACATTATAATAATAAAGGGGTGTTATTTGTGCCACACTCTGTATATTGCTAAGAGAAATACATTGCTCGGGATTTTACTGGCTATGTTTTCTTCTAGTTTTATGGTTTCAGGTCTGACATTTCATATGACATATTTTGAGTTTATTCTTGTATATGGTATATTAAGATGGTCTAGTTTCATTTTTTGCAAGTTTCTGTCCAATTTTCCCAGCACCATTTATTGAATAGACTATCCTTACCCCGTTGTGTGTTCTTTTGCCTCCTTCATCATATATTAGTTGACCATAAATGCATGGGTTTATTTCTGGGCTCTCTGTTCTTTTCCACTGATCTGCATGTCTGTTTTTATGCCAGTACCATGCTGGTTTGATTACTATGGCCTTGCAGTATGTTTAGATATGATGTAGTGTGAATCCTCCAACTTTGTTTTTCTTTCTCAAGATTGTTGAGGGTAGTCAGGTTCTTTTGTGTTTCCATATAAATTCTTGGGTTATTTGTTCCTAGTTCTGTGAAATACACCATTGGTATTTTGATAGGAATTGTGTTGAATCTATAGACTGCGTTGGGTAGTATGAACATTTAATGATATTAATTCTTTCTATCCATGAACACAGTATATACTTAAATTTATTTTTATCTTCAATTTCTTCAGTGTCTTGTAATTTTTGAATATAGTTATTTTATTTGCTTGGATGAACTTATTCCTAGGTATTTTTTGATACAGTTATGAATGGAATTATTTTCTTAGTTTTTCTTATATTTCATTATTGGTGTATAAAAATGCAGCCAACTTCTGAATATTAATTTAGTGTCCTGCTGCTTTCCTGTTACTCATTTATCAGTTCCAGGAGTTTTATACAGTATCATGTCATCTGCAAATAATGTTTTACCTCTTCCTTTTCAATTTGGATACCTTTCATTTCTTCTTATCTGATCATTGAGGGAGGCCCTTCAGTGCTATGTTGAACAACAGTGGTGAAAGCAGTAATCCCTGCTTGTTCCTGGTCTTAAGGGAAACGTGTTTAGTTTTTGCCCACTGAGTACGATGCTGGCAGTGGGTTTGTGACAGATGGCCTTTATTGTGTTGAAGTATGTTCCCTCTATTCCCACTTTGCTGAGAGTTTTTATCATAAATGGGTGCTGAATTTTGTCAAATATTTTTCCTGTGTCAATTGATATAATCATATTACTTCTATCCTTCACTGTATGTGTGTGTGCGCGTGCGTGTGTGTTGAATCACATTAATTGATTTGCAGATGTTGAACCATCCTTGCCTCCTGGGAACACATCCCACTTGATCATGGTATATAATCTTTTTAATGTATTGCTGAATTTGTTTTGTTGAGGATTTTTGCATCTATGTTCATTAGGGACATTGACCTATAATTTTCTTTCTTTGCAGTGTCTTTATCTGGTTTTGGAATTAAAATAATGATGGCCTTCTAAAATGAGCTTGAAAGTTTTCCCTCCTTTTGAATTGTTTGAAATAATTTGAGAAGGATGGGTATAGTTCTTCTTTAAACGTTTGGTAAAATTCACCTGTGAAGCCATCAGTTCCAGGACTTATAAAAATCAATGAGCTGGGAGTTCATTGATTATTGCTCTGATTTCATTAAAGTCAATCTGTTTAGATTCTCTGATTTTTCCTGATTCAGTGTAGGAAAATTTATTTTTCAGGGGATTTATCCATTTCTTTCAGATTGTCTAATTTGTTGTACTATCATTGTTACTTTTTTAACATTTCTTTATATTTTTGTAGTGTTAGTTGTTACTTCTCTTTTGTTTCTGACTTTATTTGGGACCTCTTTTTTTTTTTTTCTTGATGAGTCTGGTTGAAGGTTTATCAATCTTGTTTATCTTTTTAAAGAACAACCCCTTGGTTTAATGGATCTTTTGCATTGCTTTTTAGGCTGTAATGCATTTATTTCTGCTCTGCTCTTTATTATTTTCCATTTTCTACTCACTTTGCACTTTGTTATTCTTTTTGTAGTTCCTTTAAGTGTAAGGTTAGATTGTTATTTGATATGTTCCCTATTTCTTTTAAAGAATTTTATTTTTTTAGAGAGAGAGGAAGGGGGGAAGGGAGGGAGAAAAAGAGGGAGGGGAACTTACGATGTGTCCTGGTGTGGGCCTCTGTCTATTCCTCTTGTTTGAGACTCTGCAGTTCCTGGATATATGTGTCTTTTCCTTCACCAGGTTATGGACGTTTTCAGCCATGTATTTTTAAAATAGGTTTTAAATACCATGCTTTTTCTCTTCTGCTCTGGTACCATTGTAATATAGTTGTTGTTATGCTTCATGGTGTCCCAAAGCTTAAAACTGTTCTCATTTTTTAAAAAAGTTTTTGTTTCTTTTTGCTGCTCTGGTTGGGTGTTTTCTGCTACCTTGTCTTCCAAATTGCTGATTCTGTTCTCTGCTTCATCTGGCATCCTGTTGATTTCTTCTAGTATATTATTCTTTATAGATACTGCATCCTTCATTTCTGACTGGTTTTTATTTGTGGTGTGTGTGTATTTTTTTATTTATTGTTGAAGTCCTTACTAAGTTCCTTGAGCATCCTTACAACCATTGTTTTGAACTCTGTATCTGGTAGCTTGCTTGCCTCCATTTCATTTAGTTCTTTTTATAGAGATTTCTCTGCGCTTCCAGTTGGGTGTGTTTCTTTATCTCCCCATTTTGGGGGTCTCTCTGTGTGTGTTTCTGTGTATTAGGTGGGTTTGCTGTGCCCCCCAGTCTTGGTGGCGTGGCCTTAGGTAGTAGG